CATACAAAGTGTCTGTTTTGCCCTCAAATTATTCACTGCATGTAACAAATCCAATAAATGAGAGAAGATCATGCACCAACGACACAGATCTATCATCAAAACTTATTAAAATAAGTTACGATTGTAATCTTTAGCTTCAGTTTAGAGCTTCCAACATTATTTGCTTAGGAACATGCTATCTTACAGGATGCGCACTGCTCTAACAGCAGAGAACTTAGCATTTCCAGCGAAAGGTTAAATGACTACCCTTTCAGCTTTTTGAGAAGCACCAGCTAGATCAGTGATGAAGCAAACTGCAGAGACATCCTCTGCTGCAAAGGTTTTGGTATCATCGAGTATGAAAAGCACTGAAAACAAAGTTTGGTTTCAAACATTTTTATTAGCTAGGATGAACAGTAAAACCTAACAAAGCAGTATGCTAACAAAAACAATGGCAGACCTTAAACCTTGGACGTAGTGTTCAGAAACGCTATAATAAAGCATGTTTTAGTGGACACTAACATAGTCTACTCAATTACTTAAATATGACTTGAGAGAAATAAGTATCACATCAGAAAGGCAAAACTAATGCAGCTATAGATGATGTCCAGAATATATTACTGGTATCTGCTGAGCAATAAGATGCATTATTATTCCTCTCTATCTATGATTTTTGAGACTCTATTTAATTCCTGAAGCAAGGTTAACTCATGTCAGTGTACCCTCTAAAATAATCATGATGAACTTAACCCTTTTTGCTTAGTTGGGTTTTTTTGGGGTTTTCTTTAAAGCAATACACCTGGAATTAGCGAGGCAGATGGCCTCCTTATACCTAAGTGGTAAGGAAAGTTAAGAAATTCTCCTACTGACAGAATTACAGAGCACTAAAATGCATAAAGGCAAAGAGAGAAACCCAACACACAGGCTATAGAATATTAAAGCCTTAATATGGGGAAAAAAAGTGTGATTACTAAGAGAAATGTCCTAACAATCTCTCTATTCCCCTGGAAAGGTTGAAAGCCAGTTACCAGCCATACTGGTCGAAGAGTTGACTTGGTTGTGCCCATCTGTAGAGCATTAGCATCTTACTCCATCCCAGCCACAGCACTGCACAAGGCACCTGTGCAACCTAAGTCAGCCTATGAGCCAGGCTGCTCTATCAGCCCTGGACCTGCTCCTTTTCCCCTGAGTCACAGTCATCACCCAGTACTTACCTGATACTACACAGGAAAGAATCAAAGTATTTGCACTGTAAGTTTTGGTCAATATTTTCCCTAAAATAATATTCCATTTTTTAAATAAAACCTTGACTATTTTTTCCTGTCTTCCTGAAAGTAAGTGTGTGGGAGTTGGTGAGAAGGACCAGATTTGGAAAGTTCCAATGCTTGACATACACAACACAGATTTCTCACTAGGTAACTTCCATGTACTGTCACTATGAAGATGCTGACACCATTCTTTCTACTCTATTTTGCTGCCCTAGACTTCTGGTGAGAAGGCACCAACATTTTATCAAAAGAGGGTATGGACAAGAGAACAGTGCTATTTGATGAAACTGCAAGGTAGAACATGAACAAATGCATCATTGAAGCATTAAGTGAAGAAATTCTGAATTGCAGACAGCTTAAATTAAAAAAAGAGTAAAAAAAAGAGTGGGAACAAAGTTAAGATAAAAGCAATTTTGCATTTTCATTCAATTGAATTGTTTAGGTAATTGTGTCTCTTAAGGAAATATCTTCTAATAACAAACATCCATTTTAATGTTGCCAGTCACAGTTCTCAAAACAAAGATATCACATTTACATAAAGTGACCCAGTAAGAAAAATCTCTGTGTCTCTAAATAGGAGCCATGAATGTCACCAAGAAAAGCACAAACACAGCTTTAGACAGAACTGAATGCTGGAATTGTATAACCTACCGAAGGCTTCATGTGCCAGAAACATATAAACCAACAATGCTGAGCACAGATGATCACCACTTCAAACAACCGAAAGGGGAAGGGACAGCAAGCCCCCAGCTGAGCTGACCCAGTGATCATCTCCTTTCTCAGGTTTCTGCCTGGTTTGGAATAAAACAATGTTTGCTTTTTCAACCTCTTTGGTTTAGAAGTTCTCTTCATACCTTATTAAGAGTAGAAAACATCCTCCAAGTGTTCCTGAGGCTGTGATTTCTAGGAATTGAATTGTGGGATCATAGCATAATTCAGTCTGGAAGGGAGCTTGGGAGGTCCTAGCCCAACCTCCTCTCCAAGAAGGGCCAGATGCGGGGTCAGACCAGGTTGTTCAGGCTGTCAACCAGTCAGGTCTTGAGAACCTCCAAGGATGGAGACTGCACAGCCCCGCTGAGAAACCTGGTCTGACACTTGACTGTCCCCATGGTGACACATTCCCAATATTCAGTTAAAATGTCTCTTGATTCAGTCTGTGTCATTGCCTTTTGTCTCCTGCCATGCACCACTGTGAAGAGCCTCCATATCCCATCTTGATGAGCTCCGCATAGGTGTGAGAGGCAGCTACTCAGGTTCCCTGAAGTCTTCTCCAGGATGAAGCAGCCCAACACTCCCAACCTCTCCCCACAGTGCAAGTGCTCTAGCTTGCTCACCATCACTAGAACTTGTTCTAGTTTACTGATGTTTTTTCAGAGCCCAGAACAGATTTTTTCCTTCTGCAGTCAACTGTCTTGGTAAATAAGAGGAAGCGTTCTAGATGACAGTCAATGTATGCTGCTTTTATTAATTTCAAAAGTTATTAACCAAATAAACATTTAATGCAAGTTTGTTAACAATCACATGAGCAATAAAGCTACTTGAATGTACAGTTGTCTGTCAGCAGTTCATAACACAAGTCGGTATCTCCCATTACAGCAAGATGCAAGTACACTATGAAATATATGAAGTATCAGCTGCAGTGAAAAGTTTTAAGTCACATTGAAAATACCCTTTGCTATACAAACTTTTGAATAAAACAAAACAGAGCGATGTTTTACCATCCCATGAGCCAATCAATCTCCCACACTAGGACTGTTACAGCTTTGGAGTAATTGATTCTCCTCAAGACCACGTCAGAAGACTGGTATAAGAACTAAGAGCATTGTAAGTGACCAATAGCATTATACTAGACGTGAACTTCAAAAACAGTTGTCTTAGTTAATTTTGGGATCCCTTACATAGGAAGAAATACGCTTCTAAACATGCCTGATAATTTGCTCCTTAGACACCTTTTATATATTTTGTTTTCTTAACAGAAACTGTTCCTTGCCATTTAACATTCCTTGACTGAAAAAAAAAGTAGTTTATACCATATTCTTGGTCTTCTGTCATAGAACAGCTAGCCAAGAAGGAGAAAGAACTACATGGAAGCCTCTAAGTCTACTTCTAGAATGGTGATTTGCCTGGGATACAACATAGCCATTAACTACAGTTAACTCTGTGGAGAATCAAACCACCACCTTCATTTAGAACAAAAGGACAGAATATTTGGGGAATACCCAAATGTAAGACTTCTGAGAATAAAGAGCACCCTTTAAATATTAAACAAATAGTTGGGAAAAATCTTTTAAAAGATTGTTCAGAGAGAATTAATAACTTCAAAATATATGGGTTGTAAAAACAATTATTAAAACCATTTTTTTCCTCACTAAAAACAATTTCTGAAGGTTTTGCACCTACAAGTGCATACACCAAACCTAAAAACACAACTAAGTGAAACTCCCACAGAATCAGTTGGTTTATAGAACAAAATGTATACTAAATTCTCCAATTAAAAACCTGTAAAGTAGTTTCCGTGCTTTTTAACCCACCTTCCCACAGCAGGGAATTAATCCCTCCAGGGGGATGCAAACAAACTTCAAAGAGAAGATTATACCCAGACACTAGTACTGTACAATGTAATGTTTATGGTCAAATTTGTTCAGATTTTCTGGCACTAGAATCCAGGTCAGATGTGCAGAAACAAAGACTAGTTATTAAAAGGGCTCCTGCAGTTACATCAAATAGTCGTGATGGCATACAGCAGTAGGACAAGGCAAAACCGTATTCCAGTTAAACTCCCATGGAGGCCTTGGCAGAACAGAGTTGCAGCTATTTGACTTTTGCAGATTGTAACAAACAAATACAGACATAAGAGGAAATAAGTAGCTTTCCAGTCAATAAAATACAAAAATGCCTTTCTATTGGTCCATTCCATATATACAATAAACACATGATCATTTTATAAAATATAAAAGGAATACTACTTCAGTATATGTTGACTAATCATCATTATTTAATTTTGACATCCCTCCTCTTAGTTACAATCTAGAGACTGATCTCAAAACAGTATCTCGAACTAAGTTCTGCGATTACAAATTTCAACCTTTGCTTTTCCTGCTTATTCGATCAAGTTCCTCAGGTTTAGGAAAGAAGTGCAAACAAAAATTCACAAGTCTACTTACATGTTGGTTTCAGCAGTTATGGGCCTTCTCTAGCACAAACACAGGAATACTTGTCACAATATTATAGAAAAGTATAATTATAGTTTGATAACTATGTTTGGTAGAAATAGTTAACCAAATCATAAACAGCTTTCCTGCCTTATTTGTACATAAAATCACTTGATCAAAAGGAAAAATTCTGGGAACAGATAAAAATACTTCTGTAAACAAGTAAGAAAGAGGAAGTAAAAATAAATTCCACACAAGAAGTTTTAGAGAGTTTTTGGTTTAAAACTACCCATTCCTTATGAGCAGCAAGTACAAATCTGAAAATGCATTTACTTTTTCAATCTAATGAATTTATTTCTATTTTAAAAAAACAAAAAATGTAAAATAGTCAAAGAAGACAGAAAATTGCCCACAATTAGGGACAGAGGCAAGAATTTCTCATTATTAGTCCCAACTGTGAGAGGTTCCACAGAACCAGTGATTGAGATACCTTAAAAGGCTAAACCAGCATAATATTAAACATACTTCATTATCTCACAATACATGGTTCTTACAAATAGTTTTAGCCAATAAATAGGTAGAATTTCAGTGTAAACAGTACCTTTCCCAATGCAACTGGTTCCTGAATAGGTTACTTCTGCATACACTTCAAAGGTAGTTTCCGGATTTTGTCTGAAAGGAAAAAAAATTATTTAGCACATGGAGAATTTTTTTTCAAGTGTGCTTTCAATTATTCAGTCAAAAAGGGTTCTAAGAATGCAATGACAACTCAAAAAACCACATTTCTTGTTATACGGCCTGTGATGATTTCACATCAGACCTTTCTGCCTTGCTCATATGTAACAAGATGTGACTGAGGCATGGGTTAGTCAGTATGAACAGGGTGTCCAACAAGTTTCTACAGAGAAACAACAATAGAAATCAAGCACACAGATCCTTTAAGTCAATTCAGTTGTGCCTAGTCCGCACTTCTAGATAGTGAAGTATCACAGACCTATCCTTCAGAAATTTGCCAGAAAAAAGAAAACCATGCCTTTTACACCACTTTTCAGAATGCTACTCAGATAGAGAAACAAGTTATTTCAGTTCCGGGCCACAAGAGTAATTTTGATTACATGTGCAACTTGCAAAAGCAAGTTCTTCTCATTTCATCTTTACTTTCAAAGGAGAAAGTAGGTCACCCATGTGTTAAATACAGGGACTTTTTTCAGGGGGAAAAAAAAATTCTGAATACTCTTTTCACCAAACTGAGAACAATCACATTGTCCAACATGAGACAAACAACCCAGATTCACATTTTCACTATTGTGACCCTTGAGTTCAACTTCATGACACCTATTTGTTCAGGAAAAAGGGAAAAAAGAAGCTGCCGTCAAGAGGATGCAGTCATTTTATGTATACACTGCTGGAAGACGTAAGAGGCTGTATTTAGGATGAAGACAGTTCCCCTCTTTAACACCTGTCAAAATATTTCTCTTTGTCAAGAAAGGCCATGCTGAAGAACACAGAAATGCACAAGGTTTCACCTCATGAGAGTCCAGAGCCTTAAATCCCAAAAGCCGGCAGATGCATGCAAAATAAGGGTATAGCTGCAATAGTCAAAACTGATACCAAATTCAGCTCCAAAATGTAAATGAACTTTGAGGAAAAAGACTTACTCTGCTCCAGAGTTATAAACATTCCAGAAATAGAAGTTAATGATATAAGATTTAGGAAACCTAAAGATTTACTGTACATTTTCAGTTTTTACTAATGTAACTCCATAAGCGAAGCTCTAGAATGACATTTCATAAGGAGCATGTAAAGGCAGCAGGTGATTATACAGGAAAGTATATTTTGAGTTAAATTCTTCACTCTAACAATTTTGCTACTCCAAACTTTTTTATGAGATTAGAGAATCACACATTAGGCTGTAATTGTTCAGTTACTGAAATAAGGCTTTTGTAGAGTCTGAACATGAGACATTTTATTCTTAGATTTTTCGGGTTAAAAACCAAGAATCAAAACTGCATAATTACGGCTCTCAATTTATGGCTGCTTGTGTAACGATAATATTGCCTCCCACGTGTTAATGTAAACTATCTAACATTAGAAAATTGCTGAGGTATAATTAACTCAGGAGTTTTGTTAGCTCCCTTACAGCTATGGATGAAAAGAATGACAAAAGCCAAACATATATGCCAGAATTCCTACCTGAATAACCATTTTTAAAAAAAGAAACTCATCTTACCAGCATCTCAAACCAAACATATAAACATGTCAAGGAGTACAGCCTGCTCTTCAGAGAACTTCTATTATTTTTAATACTAAAAGGGATTAAACAAAACATTTCTAACCATGCCACAGGCCCACTTAGTGTAACTCAAATGGCTCTAAGCCAAACCCCACACCTATATAAATCAACAGAAAAGCTACTGTTGGTTTCAGTAGCATTGGATCACACTCTACAGTTTTACAGAGCACCTCTCCAGGGTAACAATATGGCTCACAATTCCATTAACGTTGATTTAATTTGCACCAGTTCCCAACTGATTTGTCTTAAGTAGCCATTTTTCAAAAACCTATGTTCATAAGCTATAAGAAAGCTAAAATCAACCAATCAACTACCATTTTGCAGTACAAAACAAACTTGCATAGTTCTCTCTACGCTACTTGGAGCTGCTGCATATAATCCGCATCCAATATTGAGATTCTGAGCCACATTCCTACGATCATGGTCCAGGATGAGGATGAAACGAGAGCCACAAAACACCAGAAATATCTTTTTCCTTTCATATATATTGCTGTGCAGCCTTATCTTACCCTCCTTGTTTATGGCTTTATTTTTAGCACCCTGTCTCCTTAATTTAAAAAGTTCATAAATTTTATAATATTTTTACAGCTAATGGATAAAATAACAAACACCTTTTTAGTATTATGTTAGAGCCTGTGTTCAAGTTCTTTAGTGAAAACACTGCATAACACAGCTGGCAAGAGCACATACTATATACCAAAACTTTCAGACAAAAAGACATTAAATTCTGTATTTTAATATTCCATGACAAACGTCCACTTATTGCTACGAACAGTGAAATTAAAGTAGCTTTGCCAAGTCAGAAACTTTGTATTAAAGGCTGCATTCAACAAGCTAACACCTCTGTATGAGAATGAAGTCATTGTGGAACTCTGAATATTTTATAACTTCTCAGTGGAACTAAGGAAACAAGTCACTATGAGACTTCATCCAGTTCGCAAATATAGCATAAACGTGCATCATAATATGGACATTTTGCAGTCCATTTTATGACCATTAAACTACCCTGCAGACATCGAATGCCACCTATGCATTGTACTGAAAGCTCAACACACTAAAATCATCCACAGCATTATAAACTTCAACACACACACACAGAGGTGTTTACCTCTCAGTAGCCTCCAAACAACCACTTAAAGACCCACGGTCAGTTATCAAGTGAGCATACAGATGCAATTAAAAAAATACACAGGACACGTATGTACCAACATACATAGTACCCCATTTATTTGATAACTGGGTAATTTCAGAAGGACATGCAATACTCATTTCTAAACAAAGATTTAGGAAGGAGCTCTGTGAGAAAAAGAAAACTTTTGTGATAAATGAAATTGTATGAATTACCTCAAATCTGATGCAGAAATAGCTTTAGTATCAAAGCAATCCTTAAGAAATTCAATTTTACACTGAAGTAATACAGTATTTTTAAAAATATATTTGTGTACCTTTTACAATCAAAATTATCAGTTTTTAGCAAACCGCAAGACATTTGTGAATGAAATTAAATAAAGTCCTTCTCCAAAACTGTATGTAAGGAAGTATATACTTTACATACTTAAAGCCACCATTTGAATTCTGTCAGGAGTATGTAAATCAGAGAAAAATGTAATAGCACTTATGACAGAAAGTATCATTCTACTTAAAACTTGAGGATTACAGAGGAGCCTGACACTATTTGATAATTAGCTGTCTGTTAACAAGACTTAGTTTCTGAACTCTTGCAGAAAAAATTATTAGCAAAAATCTGTAACTGCTAATTCAATTCAGAAATTGCACTCCAAATCCTGATTAATTTCCATATATTTAACTTTTTCCTCCTGCTACTCCCTAGGTAGATAATACTACATTTCAGTTTTTAGCAAACTTTATGTTAAATGTCTGAAAGCATTCCCACATTAATATTAGGGATCTCTTCTGTCATCACTGAAATACAACCACCTCTGGAAAGAAACATGCCAAGTTTTCTTCCAGTGCCATACAATTCTGTCGAACAAACTGATATTGACACATTATTAAAAAACCAAATCCTTTCTATTTTGCGATGTCTTGAGTACTACCAAGAAGCGATAGCTGCCAGGTTAACTAGAGTGTTAATTTTAGATTACCTTGCGGGCACAGAGTACCTTGCACGTACAGTATGACATGCTCCAGCACAAAGCTTAACCCAACAGCGTAACCCAATACTCAGTTTACCTTGGTTGTGCCTGCAGCTATACACAAACCAAAACCTCATAGCATTGCTGGCAACTTCTGTACTTCTTTCACTTCAGTCTGATGCAGCTACTGATAATTTCCTCTAAGCAATCTTTCACTGAAATGACTCATTACTGTACATCCGTCAAAAATATAACTGACACACATGTCCGGGTTTCATGCAGAGTATATCACAGTGTGTGCAAGTGATCGTGTGCCAAGGAGTTTAATATCCCTCATAATTATGAATCTATAGCAAGAAGCAAGAGATCTGACTACTGGATTTTTCCTAGGGCTCCAACACGTGTTGGTGACGTCACTAAAGGAGGCATGCCTCAGTATACCAAATATAAAACAGTTCTCTCATCCACACTCCCACCTGCCCCAGTAAGGGAACTACTTAACTTGAAGATCTTAGCTGGATTTAACATCCAACTCAGAGTCAAAGAGGCTCTCTCATTCTTTACATATTTCAGGATTGTTTTGAAATTTTGTCCTTACTCTGCTTGGGCACAGTGTTCTGCCCAAAGTGGACAAAAACTACATATTAATGGTTGCTCAAGGCAAAGTTGCTTAATCACACACTGGATAAAATTCTTTCTCACAAAGTCCAAGAGGAATGCAAAGTAATGCTTCTCTGGGATTTTCACCTATGTTTTCCTGGTGACAGAGAAAGACCTGGGCTTTGTATGTAATCTTGAAAGATATGTCCACATGAAACAGCACAGGAAAAGTCTATTGGCTGTGATAAACACCTGTAACTGCTACTTCTCCTTGTGGATTCAGTGAGGTATGCAGTTGAAGAGTCTCATCTGAGTGACTACATCCACATTCAGCAAAGTGTATGCAAAGCCACAAAGGTCAAATGAGCAATCAAAACCCCAAAGATCATAAACACAACTTGTGGATTCACTATATACACAAAAGAAACTATATTTTAAGTGAGCATCAACCTTTTATAGATTTAAGGTAAGGTCATCACAAGTCATTTCAGACCATAACCTTGAAGTTAACCAAACAAGGGTCACTGCAAGATGGGAAAGTGCAAATTACACATGTAACCTGATGTGCTGTCAAAATAGTTACAATTTTAGATTGTAACTGTATTTGAAAGTAAGCTGAGTTTCACTAGTTTCTCAGACCTTGATTTTTTGTAGCAACAGTTGAGAACCCATATGTCAAGAGT